AATCAAATCTAATTTATAGATACTCGTATGTAAACATTAAATCAAGGAATAAGTTGGTTGATCTCAATCGAAACTTCTCTAAGGAGTTAAGGTCCAAAGTAAAGCACATAATATCGAGGCAAATGTATATCGTTACGTACTACTTAGTTAGAATGAAGAATAGCAACGTTAAATTATTTTTACAGCATATTTAATTCATTGACCGCTTAGGGAGATGACATTCAATTTTAGAACTCAACCACAACAATGAGAATCATAACAAATTGAATTAAATTTTAGTATTCACAATTGATGTGAGCTCACGCCACTTACGTGCAGATTTGTGCGTATAAATAGTTATATACGGCTCTCATTCCTTTTAGAAGAATGCATGTATGCGACTGCCAAGATTTACTCGTAATGTAGTCATGAAAAATATAAAACCCCAGAAACGTAGCTCAGCTATGAAGTCTTTCATTTTACAATAGTATAATATCGTATATGGTACGATCAAAAGTTTTGAGATAAGGCTCGGAGGCAACTCCGAACCTATAAGGTATTTATATTCTTCGACCGTCTGTCTGTATGAACGCCTCTATTTCGGAAACGGGTGAGCCCACATTGACGAAACTTAGAATCTACACTCTCTTAGTCTTTCGGGAACACGAGTTTATTTTATTAAAGAATTTCTTCAACTTCTATATTTCATATATATTTTTTTATATTTCATCCAAATCGGTCAATCAATAGAAAAGCTATTAGCGAAACTTTAGCAGCAGACTCGTTATTTTTCTTTATGCTTCTGGAGGAAGTTTATTTCTTACTCGACTGTAACATTCTCTTTTGTTCGATAATTATATTTATTAATAATCTTTCCATAAATATGAAGTTTTCATTTCAATTATAAATAAATGGCCAGGACCCAGACCAATTTAATTTGAAAGCAGCTCTACCTTGGTCGTCTTCGTTAAGCTGGGATAATTCTATATACATATCCCCTAGATTGGTAATAACGAATGCTTAAATTTTAGCTTTAAATCAATTTTTTATCTGGCCCGGACTCGTCCAATTTTTGGAATAAGACTGAGTCACACTTACTTGTATTCCGTTCGAGAGCAACAATATCAAATGTTTAAAGATTGGTGTAAAAAGGGCGTGCGATGTTGTCGTCGCCGGCTTGTGGGTGGGCCCCGATATTCGTTGCTACTTTTGCGTTATCAGAGCGCCGAGCTCTGGGCAAAGAGCGAGGCACCTAGGCAGGTAGACAACAGGTAGATAAGTAGGTAGATAGGTAGGCGCGTTCCCAAAACAAATATTTGCTCATTGATTACGCTCTGTGTAGTACAAAAACAATGCAGGCTCAACGCCAGGCACATTATTACATACTCGTACATACCTGTATACCGGGAATATAAAATTGAAAAAATTCAAACAAATAGGCAAACCAGGCAACATTCCGTGGCTCTAGTGCGTGCAGCATTTTCGAGTTCAGAGGCGCGATTTTTAACAGATAGCACCCATAATGATAGCAGGTATATTTAATAAAGTCTTAAAATCTGCTCTTATTGTGTCTCAATTCCTGGAATTTACGCCACATTTTGCGAACACAATGTTGTTGCTGTTTTTGTGGTTGTTGTTGGTTTTTTTGCGCAGCGCTCCTGAAAGCAGCGCCAAAAACCAACGCCCTGACAACTCTACAGTAAAAACAACAACAACAGCAGCAGCAGCGGCAGCAAAAACAAGCCATTGGCACAAATAATTAACGCAATTTTTATGCCACTTTTTGTTTATACTCTTTATTATTATGTGTGTGTTTTTTTTTATTTTTTCTGACAACTTCTCTGACGTCAGAGGCAATTGTAAATATTGTAAAACATCACTTTTTGTTGCTCTTTCTTCATTGAAGTTGTGCGACGCATTCTACGTTTTCCAAAATACAAAATGGAGAGTATGGCATTATTATTTTATCATGATCATGATGAGTATATGTGTGTGTGTATGTGTGTTAGCCAATTACAATGTTATAATAAACACAGATGACAAACGTAAGATGCGTTACAAAAATGTCGCTTCGTACATACTATAAATATTCATATATCGCGAATTTCCATAATTGGTTCGGTTGGAATTTGCGACTTATAGAAACCGATTTGTAAACTGTTTACTTTGCAAGATTTCGTTCTTAAATAATATATCTCTGCTTAAGGGTTGATTGTGTTTAAGTTTAAAACAAGAGAGAACGCTACAGTCGAGCAAGCCCGACAGTGTAATACCCTGTACCCAGGTAAACTTCCGTCGCTGAGTTATATGCGCCTATAGCAGCAGCAAAAAGAGGAAGAAGAGGAGCGAACTTGTTGCTGCAGTTTGTGGGGGTTGTACAGGCGAGAATTTGTTTCGCTAATAACTTTTCTTAGAATCGACCAAATTAAATAAAATTTTAAAGAACAGTAGAAAATTATATATAAATTATGTGTGCAAAGTTTGGTTTAGGTAGCATTTGAAATGTGGACGCTATTGACGAAATTCTGTAGCGGGGGAAGGGGGGGAAATTCCAAAAAATAAAATAAACTCGTCCTTTCTCGGACCTAGGAGAATCTGGATGCTTTTATAGTTTCTGAGATCCTCGCGTTCATCCAGACGGATAGGCGGACAGACGGACGGACGGACATGTCTAGATCGATTTCTCTCGTCATGCTGATTCAGAATATATATACTTTATGGGGTCGGAGATGCTTCCTTCTGCATGTTACATACTTTGCACAAACCTAATATACCCTTTTTACCCTACGGGTACAGGGTATAAAAATTAATTTTTCTTGTACATACATATACATATAACTTTTACTTAAGAAACTGGCATAAAATACAATTTTGTAATCTGTCTTCTACAAATATTTTTGATTTCTTTTTGTTGGAATTCCATTGAATTTATTGAAAAAGAACTGGCAATTTAAACATTGAACACAATATATATAAATTGGAAAAACAAAATATTATACCTTTCGAAATTGATCGAAAAAAAGTAAAAGTCGAACGAAGCCAAATCTAGCGAAAATGGGGAGCGGTAAAAATATGAAAACAATCGGTTAGAATTGACGACGAATGAGACGTCGCATTATATTCCACGATGATTGGTCCAAACGTACAAAACACCAAAAAATTACTTTAAAACGGAGCATTAACGGATTAACCAGATGGAATTGTGTTTCCGAAGAATATACGTAGTTCGCTTAACATCGACGAGACATCACTTTTAACTTCTCCAAATGAGTTTTTAACCGAATTCAAAAAAGGAGGAGGTTATCAATTTGTCTGCACGTTCGACTGGTTGAACCATTTGAAAGCTGGTGCTTTCCGAATGGTCCCATTTCAATTTTGTTTAGTTCTGACAATGACATCCATCCATCCGGCAACTACTATAACCATACCTCATTTAGTCCAAATAGCTGAACATTCTATTCTTGAACAGGATGCTGTTATTCAAAATCATCCTCCAAACATGAAGTCACTTTAAATGACAAAAAAAAAACATTCACTGCCAGTTGTAAGACCTGAAGAAATTTGATTTGTTTTTTATTTTTTTATTTTTACTTATCCGGGTATTTTGTATTTTGTTTGACTCCTTTATGATGCCTTTCGTATGTTGAGTTCTGAGCAATTTTTATTGGTTATCAGTTAACTTGTGTGTAGACTCAATTGTTCGGTTTAAATGCAATGCATCGCTGATTGGGAGATATTGATTTTCCATATCCATTAATTTCATTTATTTGGTTGATTTTTGATAGATTCGCGTCCTTTTATTATTATTTATTATTAACTGTTCGACATGTTTGCACGTTCATTCAAGTCATCACAAACATTCTTGAATCGCGTATACCACTCGTGGACCCTGCCACAAGACAAAAAATTGTGTCTTGAAACTAGTTATAGCAATTGGAACGTTTCGGAAAAGAGTTGTCAAGAGTATAATCCCGAACTTAATAATTCGATCGCCATTTTTGTATCGATAGCGCAAACACAGGCTTCCAACGATCCGATTATCATGAAATTTTGACAGGATGTCATTATATAGTAAGATGTGCCCAGATAGCGATATTTCCAAAAACTCCTGTATGGGATGCGTCTAATACATATCTATTGAAAACAACAACTTACTTTCCTTTTTATGTAACTTTGTATTGAAAGGAAAAAGTGGTTAGTTCTCTTCTAAATTTTTAAATAAGTTAAATATTTAATTAAATATTTGTTAATAATTAAATTGAAATTTTTCTGTATAGATTCGAGTTGTAATTAAATTTTTAAACGGGGATTTAAATCTGGGCAAATAATCGAAACAAGAATAATACTTCATACCCACCTGAGTGACTAGCTGTGGTGAAGAGTGGTGAGGTGAATTGAGATGAGACAGTATTGTGGTGAATGATATTTGTGCGAATCAGTTGGGATCGGTTTGGTCTGGAGATGGCAACCAGTTGAGAGAGAGTTGATGGCGCACGCCAGTTTTCTTATCGCTAATACTTTACGTATGTGTTGTTGTTGTTGTTGCAGCTAAAGCTGCTGTTGATGCTTTTGTTGGAGCTGTTGCTGATGATAATATTGTGGCCCATTGCTGATACCGAGAACGCACAGGGTGCACATTTTTATGAGCATCAATTGAGCGCCAAGCTGCAACAATGAAGTGCCACAGCGGCCATAGCGACAACAACAACAACAGCAAAAACAACAAGCTATATGCATTTGCAACAAAAGCTGTGCGTGTGTGTCTTGGGATGTCAAGGGAGCGGGGCACGGTTGACTCTGCTTTAATTGTGAATGTATTTCATGCCTCGGCGCGAGTTCAACGAACTTGCATTTTTATCAGCAGCCAAGTTGTGAGTCGAGCGCCGAGCGCCGAGCACCGAGCGTCGAGCGGCGACTGACTTGCGTCCAAGTAATCGGACAATATATTTTTTCGCATTGTTATACTTTGCTTTGCATTATATCTACTCTATATCTATATCTCTTCCCTCTCTCTTTTACAGGCATGCGTATGACCATGTCGACAAACTCAACCATGAGTCCGCGCATACATCGCAAAGGTTTTCGCATACCATCAAAAAGACAGCCGGGCAAAGGACTGCCAGGCAAACTGCACACCATAACAAGGGTAAGGAGTTGACCAGAAAGAACCTTTCACGAAAAACAAAAACAAAAACGGGTTTTCTTTTTTTAGCCAAATATGGATTCGCATTAATTTTTTTATTCGCTTTATTAGGGAAGGTTTAAGCTTTATAAGTTGATCGGATCGTTTAGGGAGAAAACCTATCTGCTAGGTGTACAGTTTTCAATTGTCATTAGGATAGCCGTTTTCTACTCCTTCCCAAAGGATCAACGTTATTAGATTTGTGGTTTCCTTAGTTTGTTTTGACCGATGATAGGTTTCTTGAGGCATGAATAAAAGAACCATAGATTACTCATAAGGAATATTGAAGAGCAAACAATCAATGTCATTAGATTTGTAATTTCATTAATTATAGCCTGTACCCAGAGGGTGAAAGGCTATACTAGTTTTGTGCGCATGTATGTAACACACAGAAGGAGGCGTGGCAGACCCCACAAGGTATATATATATTCTTGACAAGCCGAGTCGATATAGCCATGTCCGTCTGTATGAGCGCAAGGATCTCAGAAGGTACAAGAGCTAGAATTACCAAACTTGGCATCCAGGTTCCCCTAAGCCCTAGGCAGGTCAAGTTTGTTTTTTTATTTTGATACCCCCCCCCCCTCCCACTCTCCCGCAATTCGTGTTTTTTCTTATAACTTCCGTAATTCTTGGAATTTTGAAATCAATTTTGGTAGTTACATCCAGTTAGTGCTTATGTGTCCGTTTCATCACGATAGGTCAATTCTGAAGAAAGTTATAGCCATAAATAAAATCGCTGCTCATGCGCAGCCTGCAGCACTGCCGGCAGCTGTTGTTGTTGTTGCTGCTTTGGTTGAACTTTGTGCTGCATACATACACGCATATAAACACGCATAGGTACGTGATATAAAGGTATGCTGATAAAACTGAACATAAACATGTATTCTAATTTAATTAAATTAATTAATTAATTTATTCATTTTTTTTAATAATTTTTTTTTTTTTCAATTTTTCTTTTTTGTGGAGAGTACAGGCTTTTTTACTGTCGGGCTTGCTCAACTGTAGCGTTCTATCTTGTTTTGTTTTAAGATATTAAACGTCTTCATGATAGATTTTTTAAGGCATAAATAAACGGACTATTATGAACTCATTAATGAATATTAGGAATCTTTGAAGAGAAACGAATAACGTTATTCGATTTTCAGTTCTCTTAGTTTGACTTGATCGATAATAGGTTTTTGAGGCTTGAATAAAATAACTATAGAGTACTTATAAGGAATATTGGAAATCCGTGAAGATAAACGATCAAAGCTATTAGATTTTCAGTTTCTTTAGTTTGTTTTGACCGATGATAGGTTTCTTGGGGCATGAATACGAGAACTATAGATTACTCATAAGGAATATTGGGAAGAGAAAACTAATCAATGTCATTAGATTTGTAATTTCTTTAATTTTGTTTTAAAATAATAAACGTCTTCATGATACGTTTTTTGAGGCATAAATAAACGGACTATTAAGAACTCATTAAGGAATATTGGGAACCTTTACAGAGAAACGAGAAATGTTTTAGATTTCAGTTTCTTTAGATTGTCTTGATCGAAGTATTGATAACTCACAAGGAATGTTAAGAATCTTTTAAGAGAAAACGAACAACGTTATTAGATTTTCAGTTTCTTTAGTTTGTGTTGACCGATGATATTTTTTTTGAGGCATGAATAAAATAACTATAGAATACTTATAAGGAATGTTGGGAACTTTTGAAGATAAACGATCAACATTATTAGATTTTCAGTTTCTTTATCGAAATATTGATCGAAATATTGAGAGTTCATAAGGAATGTTGGAAATCTGTCGAGAAACGATCAACGTTATTCGATTTGTAGTTCCTTTAGTTTGTCTTGATAGGTTTTTTGGGGCATGAATAAAGGGACTATTGAGAACTCATAAAGGAATGTTGAGAATTTTTTAAGAGAAAATGAAGAACTACTCACAATAAGCGCATAGAAATAAAGACTTGGACTTCACTTTTAATACCATTGTTTGATCATTTCATTTGGTATGGAAATTAAAATTTGCACAAATTGTTATTATAATTATGATGCTCTATACTTAGACGTGCTAACGACATGAGAAGGAATTTGAATTCGAACTTAATGCTTATCATTTTAATATATACATACATAGACATGCAGACGAGTAATCGTACATAGTTTTGATTGAAATTTTAGAAAGGAACAATATGCTTAGTTAGAGGGCATTAGTGGGTTTATTGTGTATTTCGTTTTGGTATACAGGAGAATTATGTGCTCAATCACTGATGATTAATTTCCCATTTTCAGACCGGCCCTGGGAAATTGGTGCCCGGAAAGCGAATACCACAACGTCCACATCCACCGCCCTGTGATAACTCGAACGATAGCGGCCTAGGCTTTGATCAGCACGTTGAGCTGCAAAATGGCAGCAGCAGTAGTAGCAGCAGCAGCAGCTGTGGCAGCGGCAGCAACAGCAGTGGCAGCAACAACAGCCAGCAGACAAATGTCGTTGTTGATGCCTTAAACAACGGCAACTCGTTGACATCGACGGTTGCTGCTGCCGCTGCCGCGGCTGCAGCAGCTGTGGCCAGCAACACGCTGCAGCAACATCAACAGCAACAACAACAACAGCAGCACCAGCAGCAACAACATTCACCGCAGCAGCATTTAATACGCGCGATACCTGTATCAAGGTGAGTGAGAAGGAGCAGTTGTTGCTCTATCTGCCGATTAACTCTGATTAGCACCTCGCAATGGGCACAATAACAAATGCACACACACACACACACACACATACATACACGTTCGATTCATAACGATTCAGCCCACATGCACCCACAAGCCTGCAAATTATTTGTACGTACGAGTATATGTATGTGTATGTAGATATACTTGTAGGTAGAGCCTAGACGGGTCGAATGACATAGAGAAAGACTTGCAAATCACAAGTTTCGACTTACTGTTTATAGTATATGCCGCGGGCGGTTCAATTGCAGAGCGACGAGTATTATTACCCAATATTTTGTTAACTGAACTCTAAATTATTTTCATTATTGGTCAATAGCCACATAAAGTAGCGTCTTTTGATTCAGTATGGTTCAGTAAGGGCCGGCTTGTTGCTTTCGAAAGGTGTGCTCTCTATCCTTCCTTATATTGCGCAAGTTCGTTCGGTGTGTAACGGTAAAGAGGTCCTTCCGTGGCAAGTGTTATTTGAATTTCAATTGTAACTGAGAAAAAGTAAATGCCAGAATACCATTTTTTCGAACGAACTAGCTTCAACATATAATTAACAAACCTTAAGAACAATGTAGTAGATGCAAAAACAAATTTGGAATACACAACTAAGTATATATGTATACCCAATAATTTAATTTGCTGTGGAATATCTTACATTTATAATTAATTTGAATTACAGAACCCTTCGGAAACTCTATACACTCTAGGGTATACATATGAATTTTTTGTGAGACAAGAATGTCAACATTTGTATAGATACGGGTAGGTTATCCTGCCCTTTAGAGATCGTTCATTTGACCGCAATATTTAAAATACATTTGTGTTTAGAGAGTATAACAAATACGGATTCATATGCAAATCAGTACATACTCGCATATTATAGTATAGTATAGCGTAGATCGAACGAATTCATTTAACCTGTTTCTCTGATTTTATTGGTGAAGTACCGCAAGTACTTTAGAAACTTCGCATTTATGCATAGAAGAGATTAATTATAGATGATTGATAAAGCAAATACTTGGAAGTAACTCACTCATATATATATATATACATATATATATATATATATAGGTATATATGTAAATAATGTCGGTAAATCAAAAATGTGATTTCTTTAATAATAGTATTATTGATTTGCTCACTGGATGGGGGACTTTTTCTTTTTGTGATTTATAGATCAACTGTTTTCATTCATTATAGTAGTAGCAAGCGGTGGTCAGTTGCCTTCAAACACGCATTTCGTTCTTACACACAAATAGTAATTAAATATTTAAATTAACTGAAAAACTGCTGACGACGCGCTCAGCCAACACCCCAGAACATGCTTCGATCCGATCGGATCGGATCGATTGATCGACCAACCGACCAACAGACAGACTGGTTTTCTAACTTCGATGCATTTCATTGTAGGTCATGGTGAATATGTTTGCTTTAATCTATCAGTGTGTGTGTGTGTATGAATATGTGTGTGTGTGTGTGCTTATGAGCTGTAATTGCATGTTGGTTGCCAATCGCATTTATCTTATCAGTCTCATCAAAAAAACTAAAAAAAATAGGGAGTCTTCTGTTTTGACTTCGAAACAAAATGTCGCGCTTATCTGCAAATTGGCGGCCCTCCTCAATTGAACAAACTTTTGCAAAAACAAAAACAAAAACCAACAAAAAAACAAAAAAAGAATAGCAATTGGAATTGGAATCGCCGCATTTTGATTTATACACAGAGGCTTTAAGTTAATTGCTTTTTATGGCCACTCTGCAAGGGCTGGCTGGCTAGCTAGCTAGCTGTCTGTCTGTCTGTGGCTCGTTACTTATTATGGCCATTGTTGTTGTGATTGCTGGCTGTGTGCCCCATTTGTATTTGCTTTTGTCGTTTGCATGTTTTTTTTGCACCACACTCATTTCTTATTTCTGGCATACATGCTGAGCAGCTAATTTAATTTGCATTCATTTGGTGAATACTTTTTTTCTGTTTGCAAGACGCGTCTCGCCGCAGCCAGCAGCTACCAAAATAACAGAAATAACAACAATAACATTAAAAGCAAGAACCACAACTTTTCGGGTCATTTAGCCAACCGCATTGGGACAGAAACGGTTAAAGACCTTTGCACTGACAACGCAGTCAGCGTTGCGTCAGACTCGGACTCAGAGACGGAGTCGGAGTCGGAGTCAGACTCGGAGTCAGAGTCAGTGGCTTTTTGGTTTACTTTTGCGTCTCGCCAATTTTTTTGCACTTGCTTATTTATTTAACAGCTTTTACAGCACTTTTTATTTTTTGCATTCGTTGTTTGTCATGAATATCGCGCTAAATATATTTTAAAAAATTAAATACGCCGTGTGGGACGGACGAGGAAGACTATTTGAGAGGCAAATGCCCAACATTACAATCAATTCCATAAGTCATTTATTTCGCCACTGAAATGATTCGCAACTGCTTGCCAATAATTAATCCTAATTTGAATTGTTTCTTTTAATTGGTCTCATAATTGATGTAAGTACTTTGCTTTTGCTTGAATGGGAAACATTATTGTCTGTTGTCCGTCTGGTGAATCATTTTTGGCAACCTATAGTATTTATAGGATCTGCGTGCGTCACAAACAATTAGTAACTAAAGTTTTTAATTGTCTGCGAGATTTCTTGCATACAAATATGTTTTTGTGCAAAGGTTACTCGAGCACACACCAGTGATTAATTCGAATATACTTCACAGTGGGTAAACGGCACTTTGTTTCAAAAAAAAAAAAATAAAAACAACAAAAGCAATAAAAAGAGGAATAAACGTTCCGACTTGTTCAGTGTCGCACTTTATTTTCACATTTCAACACTTTAGTCGTACTCCTCTCAGTGATTTGGAATGCATTTAGATTTTGTCTGCCAGATGTTTCAACTGAACTTTGGAAAGAGTCAACTCAAAATTATAAACATAAACAAACCAGAGCAAGCCCAACAATTAAATACCCTCTAAAAAATAATGCTTACGCCGCAAAAGGAAAAGAAGAACAAACCGGGGTGGACGTAGTACTGGAGCAATCAAAAATTAAAATAAACTCGTGCTGCCTAGGAGCTAGGTTTGTGATCTGCCTTTTCCGAAATCCATCCTGATGGACAGACATGAAATTAAAAAGAAAAAAATGGAGAATTATATTTTAATGAAAATTAAAACCTAAAATGGCTAGAAGAACCGCAATAAAACGGCTAAAACACAACCATAAGTAAATAAAAAATCTGCTCTAAATGACTTGAAACCCCGCTAGAAAGTCCTATATATGTAAATAACAAGAATGTCCACTAGAAAAGGCTAGGAAACTTACTATACATAAGATACAAAACCGCTGTAAATAGATAGAAAATCCGCTAAGGGCTAGAAGAAAATAGCTAAAGATCCAATAAAAATTGATACAATACTCGCAAGAAAATGGCTAGAAACACCGCCAAATACTTGTAAAACCCGGTAAAAAAAAATAGATAGAAAACCCGCCGTCACCGAGGGTTGCCGATTCAGCTTTCAAGAGCATCAAAAAACGCAGTTATATTTCCAAGACCCTACCAGGTAGGCATAAATAAGCAGAAGGCAAATCAACTGCTTACGATTGCGGGTTTATTTTAGCATTAGGGTCATGCAGCCATGTGTTGTGAAATATGACCCATAGGAGAACACCAAGTTTGTTTACATTTCAGATTGTGCCGTTAGGTTACAATCTTCATACCATAGCTGATTTTTGCTTACAATCATAATTGCAATTTTGCCAGCTGGTCTACTTGAAGTTCATTTATGTGCGTCTGTTACCGTGCTGTTGGTTTCGTTACAGAAAAGGTTGCCGATCCAGCAGACAAAACCCTTACATAAGAAGTTCCACTTAAAAAGTTATGTTGAATTATGAATTATGAATGTTTCTGAACTATGAACGGAACAAAAATCTTTGCATTCACTCGCTCGCTTTTCCTTCCTGGCTGAATTCATAGTGGATTAAATGAATAAATCGAAATAGAACAAGTTCAGTAACTAGTTAATTTAAATGAATCCTTCAACCGAACCAATTCTATCTTACTGAAGATAAGGGAAATTTTAAATATGTATCTGTTGATGCAGAGTATCTAAGAGCATTGTTATGGATATTTTTTCAAATAAGCAAGTTCTTTGGAGAGGTACATACATAGGTCCGTTTCCAAGAGATTTCTGTTTGATTCCAGTGCTGGAAATCGCTGTCATCTTTCAGATCTCCAACCGCGTCGATTCTGTTTTGATTGTTTCCTGTGGTTGTGGTTGTTGTTGTTGCTGTAGTTGGTGTGTTTTCTTTAATATTGCATTTGTCGCATACAAATCAGTCGATTGAGTTCGAATATATGTAGACATGCATACGTATCTATAGCGTCGTATGATTGATCTGTAATTTGCGTCCGTTTTGCGTTCTTTGCTTGTTCCCCTCGCCGATTCCGCACCTATAGTATTATTTTGATTGCAAAACTTTTTTAATCTATGCAAATAGTTTCGTGCTCGGATCTGTGTGTGTGTGTGTGTGTGTGGGAGTGTGTGTTTTTGTTATCTTATATGATTTTGTAGTATGTTTATGGTTTATTTGGAGTTTCCTTTCAGCGTTTTATGTCCTTGCTTTGAGTAGAAAATGTTTTTCTTTATCCAATTAATCGTAGTCTGTGTCTTTCGAGCAAATTTTTTTTAAGGCAACAAAAAAATGAAAGTAAAATTATAGACTCATAGGAATTGCCCATATAATGTATTTCCCTATGTGCTACGAAATATCATAGTATGTGTGTATATATATGTATATGTGTGTGTATATAGATTGGGACACGAGAAGAAAATGCCCTATTTGGATGGCCTAGAACAAACATCGGCGCCAAGCTACGAAAAGGATCTGACGACAATAGCAGCCATATCAGCATCAGCAACAGATGAGGATACAGGATTTGGCAATGACACGCAGACAAGTGATTTGTTTGGGGGCCTTTTCAATGTGACTGCAACGCAACAGGCAGCGGAGCAGACGGCGTGTGCAGCAGCAGCGGAAGTGGCAGCAGTGGCAGCTACAGCCACATTTGCCGTGCAGCAGCAAATGCAAACGCAACAGCAACAACAGCAGCATTTTCAGTATTTGCAGCAAGGCGGCATTGGCTTGATGCTCCAACAGCCGTACAATGCGCACCGGCAACAACAGCAACAACAACAGCAACAACATCAACAGCAGCAACAGCAGCAGCAGCAGCAACAACATCAGAACCACTTCCACCAGCAACATCAGCACCATCAGCGCAGTGGCAAGCACATTAAGCGCAAGAAGCTCGAATGCAATCACGTTGAACTGGCCAATGATGATGCCTGCAGTGAGGATGAGTTCATACGCAAAATTGCCAGCGCAGTGACTGGCAGTGAGGCGACTGAGAGCAACAGTAGTAGCAGCAGCAGCAGCAGAAGCAGCAACAACAACATCAGCAACAACAGCAGCAGCAGCAACAGCAACAGCAGCAACAATTGTAGCAGCAACAGCAGAAACAGCAATGTTGCTGTTACGATCCGCAACCTGCCGCGCTACAACAACAGCGGCAGCAGCAGAAGCTGCCACGGCGTTGCCAACGAGCCAAAGTAAGCAGCAACAACAGCAACAACAATAACAAATACAGCCACAGCAGTAGCAACAAAAATGTTGTGATTACATTCTTAATATAAACTACTATAATAATGTACTCGTAGTGGACTTTAATATTATTTATGGAAATTTTTTCGAATGCTACTGTTTTTTTCTTTAATTTATTCAATTTATTCCTTTCTGTGATTTCCCTTTGGCGCTAAAAACAAAAAGAAAAAAAAAACTGTTTGTAAACAAAATGCGAAATTCCAAATTCTTGTGTGTTAACAATAGCCAACAACAACAACAGCAACAATCACCCGCACAAATACACAAACACACACACAGACAGACACCTATTCGATATGCATATATACATACATATGTACGTAGTAAATTTATTTATTTGGAGAGAGAATAACTAAAGCGCAATTAAATAAAAATAAAAAACGCACATGGATTTCATTTCGGTTGCATTTACTTTGTGTCAATATAATTGTTGCCTCAGCTGCTGCTGCTCCGACAAATCAATCAATTTTTATTATATTTTTTCGCCTACAATGTTTATAGAGGCATAACAAAAAGGCAACATTTAATCGTCTGCAATAAAAACTGGAAGAAAGAAAAGAATTCTTTTGTGTGTCCATGTGGTTTTTTTTCTAAATGTGTATGTGTGTGTTTGTGTCCAAAGGTCACTCTGTAGTATATAGTTTTGGCATATGTGTAACTAAAAACTTTTATGTATGTACATTTCCTGCCTCACTATTTCAATTCTCACGCTTTAAATTTATATTCCAAATTATTGCTTATTCAAAACACCTATTTGTTCCGTGTTTATATGTATATGTGTATATTTATATAAACTCCCATTTTTTTAAATCCATAAAAAAAACTATCCATACAATTACACAAAAAATGCAAGTGATATTCAACTTCAATTTCCATAAGAAAACAATATATTTCTGCACGTAACATTCTAACCTAATTGGTGCTGAGAAATGCTAACTCTTCCACTCTGGTAGTCCCCGACAATTGACAAACAGGTTCTTTAATATTATAATAGTTATAATACTTGATTGATCAAAATACTTTGAAAACTTTTCCAATTCACGTTTATTTTCGGTACTCCAATTAATGGTAAAGTCATTAAATTTTTAATATCATTTGGAGACTTTTCCGATTCACGTTTATTTTCTATTCCCCAATCAATGGTAAATCAAAACCCAAGTCCTTAAAAATTTTAAATATCAATATCATTTCAAAACGATAAATATGCCATAAATAAAATGAGTCAAATGTTTTCAATCTTTGTGTGTTGACAAATTAAATTTTTATTGTTAAAATATATTCCATTTGCTTCTTGAAAAAAAAAAATAACAAATGTTCTGAATACAAATTAGTTCCATTTCGTCAATTGTTGGACGGCAACCGAATTTAGAATTAGACGAGACAGACAGACCGGCTTAAGTTGCATCATGTCTGTGCCGCTGTACTGCCAGTTCTCCATCTTCTACAACCAATCCCCCAATCTCCCATTGTCCACTATTTACAGATTCATCTCGACGCGTGGCGTGACACGCGTGGCCAACAAGCGGCAGCCAACAACGCCACTGAATAGCATCGCCAGCTCAAATGATGGCCTTGTCCAGCTGGAGATCGTCTCGCAGCCGGAGCAACAGCATCGTGCACGCTATCAGACCGAGGGCAGTCGCGGGGCTGTTAAGGATCGCAGTGGCAACGGATTTCCCATTGTCCGTTTGACCGGCTACGAGAAGCCGGCTGTATTGCAGGTCTTCATCGGCACGGACATCGGTCGTGTGGCCCCCCACATGTTCTATCAGGCGTGTAAAGTGGCTGGAAAGAACTCCACGCAGTGCAATGAGAAGAAAGTGGACGGAACCATGGTTATTGAGATTGATTTTAAGCCGGAAACAGAAATGACTATAACCTGCGATTGCGTTGGCATACTGAAGGTTAGTAAACGAAACAACTACTACAAGCCTTGGAATAAGTCTTTAAATTAGACTCCATGTTTTTCACATCGCTCAGTATAATCACAATTTGTAATCCAATTGAAGTTCATTTTCAACTAGCTTAAGCTGCCATATTGGTAGTAGAATACTGATTTAATAAATTTTTAAAAATTTGAGAGCAAAAAAAATTAAATTTCAAAGCACTTTTGAGAAAAACATTTTTATTTACTAATTGTACGCTAATTTGTAATAATATCAAAAATACTGGTTTAATAAAATTTAAATACATTTTTTAGAAAAAAAATTGAGGTTCAAAGCTTTTTAAAGATTTTTTTATTGATCGTAGGCTAATTTGTTTATAAAATAAAAGATACTGGCTTAATAAATTTAAAAAAATTTTTTTGAAAAAAAATTTATGTTCAAAGCTCTTTAGAGAAGATTTTTTTACTGATTGTGGGCTAATTTGTTTATAAAATAAAAAATACTGGTTTAATAAATTGTAAATAGTTAAATAAAAAATATGAAACATGTACTTTTTCAGGAACGCAACGTTGATGTGGAGCATCGCTTTCCGGAACATTTGGCGCAAAAGAACAAAAAAAAGTCAACTCGCTGTCGCATGGTCTTTCGCACTCAACTAACACGCGACGATGGTAGCAGCGAAACGCTACAGGTTTGCTCGAATCCCATCATATGCAGTAAGTAATCGTCCTCCCCCCCTTCCCACCACACCCTCTATTATTTGTTTAATTTAAAATTAACGCATACCGCCATTTTTTTTTTATTGCAGCCCAGCCACCTGGAGTGCCAGAAATTTGCAAAAAGTCGCTTAATTCTTGCCCCGTCGATGGCGGTCTCGAGTTGTTTATTATTGGCAAGAATTTCCTAAAGGACACGCATGTGGTATTCCAGGAGACGTACGACAGTGTCAATGCCGATGATCCGGCAACGGAAATAGCTGTACGCCAGCAACTGATTGGTGGTACCGCAGCCCTCTGGGAACAGAGTGTGTTACCAGACAAGGAGTATTTGCATCAGGTGGGTACATCAGCCATGTCTATATAGGTGTCCAATTATTTTCGAAAAGTGTGAAGAGAATGCCAGGATTTTTATGTTGTTTGACAATTTGTGTCATAAAACTGCGACAGTAAGAGCTCTGGTATCTATATATTTGACTAGTATATGCCAAAGTTAGAGGAATACAAAAACTGGCAAATTGGCAATTCGACTTTAAGAATTTTCATTTGGGGTGTTCCTACAAACTCTACAGCATTTAGATAGAAAAATTAAAAAATTACAAGCACCTATATTTGAAAAAATATCACATTTGAAATTAAGAGCAGAATACCATTAGTTTATTTGTGGCTATCATGTATTAGATTATTATTTTTAGACTGTTAGAGATATTACTTTTAGGCTAAGAGTATATTCGAAACATTATTCAGGTAGCTGTTCTGGCTTACAAATGAGGAAGTTTAGAACATTACATTACAGAATGTTTTTTTATATTTATTATTTAAATTTTTGTATTTAGTTTTTTTTTTATGTTTTTTAAGTTTTTTGTTTTATTTCAATTTTTTAAATTTGTGTTAATTTTTTTCAACAAAAATGTATTCGAAACTCACTTTTAGAAGATTTCCAATTTTAAATTTTTAATGTGTTCTTTGAAAATCGGAAGTGGCTTTTAAATATTCAGTTTAATTTCTTATGGAATGCCTATTGAATGCATCAAACCTATGATTCGTAATAGCACCACCTAGTTATAGGCCAGTGTCGTAAAAAAAAGCTTTTGCAACGTATTCAGCGCAGCGGCAGCGAAGGCATCCCAATTGGTTAATGTTAACACATTACTGTTTGCCGTTTTGCATCAAAAATTGCTGTAACATAACATAATGTAATTCGGCTGCGTCTGCAGCGCTCTCTTGCCCTCATTAACATAATGTTATTTGGCAGCGCTCTCATTGCAGCGACTGATCTGCAAAATCCAGCTGCAGTGTTAGGGCCTCGCGCAGTTCAGTTTTTTTTTTGCTCTCCATCATTCGTTTACGATTAATTCGATCTCAGTTTTTGTTGTTGTTTTTTTTTTTGGCAATGCAAGACAGTCGGTCAAAGCCACAGCCATAACACATGTATGTATAATACTTAGTAGTTTCCAGTGGAGATTTTCAATAAATGATTAGAACGCTGTTGTTGAAATTCAATTTGTTTTAATTGTGGAAGCAAGACTTGGGTTTATTTTGCAAAACAGCTGGGAATCGATTGATCCCTGATCAGTCCTTGGTGAATATTAAGTTGTGCATTCACCAGACAGCAACAGGGATCAGGAATCAGTAATTTAACTGCTGCTGAATGTGTATATTTTGTTATACCCGTACACAAATATTTGAATAGTAATGTTGTAATATCCAAAATGTATCTCGTTTCAGACGCATCTAATATGCACGGTGCCACCATATTTGCATCCGAATGTGCTGAAGCCGGTTACTGTGCAGGTTTCGATCATATCGAGTGGAAAGAAGAGTGAGCCGCATACCTTCACCTACACACCCAAAGGCAGTTATACGACACTAGCGGCGGCCAGCACGTTAAGTAGCACAATCCATGCCCAAGGTATTTATTTGTTGACTATTTAAAAACTAAAAACAACACTCACACAAACACACATATACACAAAGAGAAAACAACAAACAACTTTTTTCAAACCTAGCCAACAACAAAAGTTAATATATACGCACATAAATCATATACTATACACACTTACAGATACATACGTAAAGAGCAATTTATAAAATTATGAAAATAACAGCGAAGTGCGCTTGCAATAACCTGTGCGCCTAGTTGTATGCTATAAAAAATAATAACAATATATATATACTCGTACACATATAGGCAATAGGCAGGCAATCAGGACAAACAACCCAGCCGGCCAGTTAAACACAGTGTTTACTGCTAGTTAGTTACTCAAGTTAAACACCTTCCTAAGGCTAAGTTCTATCCAAATGCAGGCAGGCAGTTTGCTGTTCGAATTTTGCACTTAACACCAATACACATATATATTTGTATCGATATGCATATATATATGAATAATCAATTATATTTTGATGTTTTCTTTTTTTTTTGTGTTTTTGTTTTGCATAATTTTGTTTGGCATAACGATTTTTTCATTAAGTGTATTCTTCTTGAAAAAAAATAAACAAAATAAAACAAACAAACAAAATTCGAACGTTCAGTTAACTAAAGCGAATCTGCGTACCTTTTATCAATTACACAGAATTGGCCAATTGGTAAAAAGTAAGACGTCTAATTAACTTTGATAAAACTTTAAATCTAATTTAATGGATTCATGCGTTATTCTGTGCGCTGCAAAAATTATTTATTTATATATATGTATACTTTAATATTAATGCTAGGCAGCGCGCAAGCTAAATAATGCTGGAGCTGGCATTCTATAGATCTGATTAAGCAGAAGAAAAAACAAATATATAATAGCAAAGCAAACAAATACATTTATTTGAAATTTTCTTTGTGATGACCGGAGAAACAGCACTCGTTTTATGGCAACAGGAAACGCATTTCGCATTTCTACGCCTCCGATTATATACACAAAGTAATTTAGGGCTATCAATCAATTTCGGTTTGGTCCAAAGAGCTGAGTGCTTTTGAGATTTGTGATAGATCGAATAATTGACACAGTTACGTCTAACGCAGTTTTGGAAACAAACAAACTTCCGACATAGCAGAGGAGGAAGATGAGGGAACCCACTCTTGAAATTTCTAGGCGTAGTACTAAACAGAAATTATTTCGCTACTAATTTGAAACAAAAAGTAAGAATAATATATTTATTAAATGTGCAAAGTTTCGCTTACGTTGCTTTAAGAAAATGGACAGTATTGGCAAAATTTTAGGGATGGGAGAATGTCAAAAAATAAAATAAACTCGTGTTGCCTATATATGTATTAGGAGAGTCTACATACCAAGTTTGGTGGATCTGGAGTCAGCCATCTCCGAAATCTAGGGGCTCATCCAGACAGACGGACCGATGAACATGGTTATATCTCGTCATACTGATAAAGAATTTATATACTTCTCCCAGTTACATACTTTGCACAGACCAGAATTGCCCCCTTTTCCCATTAGATACAAAGTATATTTACCAGACTTGTCCGCAAATAAATGCGAATCGGCAAATCGTAAACCCGAAACCTTGTAGGAGTTGAACTTTATTGATCCGCTTATATGTGTCGCTAGAAGTGTCATGTTGTTTTTGAAAGATTCTCTATTGATTTCTATTGACATATGCTTAAGGGGTGTACAACTAACTATAACACAGATACATACATTGATTCCATATATGCATTATTCATAAATATCTTATATACATACTACTATATATATGTAGTTATTAGACTGCCAATTCATTTGTAAAATTGTGGGTCCTAGACTTCTATGACTAGCTACTGGTCCCAAGTATTGTTCAGCTTTTGCCTGTCAACTCCATAACTTGGATAACTCCATGGCATCGCACAGAATACCGCATGATATTAATAACAAAATAATTCCATATAATTTATAAGTAGAAGGCATTTTGTGCCCCAAATCGATATGACTTTAAAGAACACAATAGTTTTATGCAGCATTTAGTGTAATTTAAGTAATTAAAATTTAAAAAAAAAATAGATATATAGAAAAAAATAATGAAAATTAGCTGAGAGGCCATATACGCACGTTTCCATATTGGAATAATAGGTGAAATAACACTCTATATGCACGATATCATAAAACAACAGCCGCACCAAATAGGTGCAAACGGCTCCTCTGCGACGCTCTTTCAACAAATGAACTCAAAACCAAAAATCAAAAATGAAAAGAAAAAAAAAACGTAATTCGAGTGCCCGTCAAGGACTCCCGAATAGTCTCCTAAAAACTCTCCCAACTCTGCAACATCGAGGAGCGCGGGTCCAGGATGGAAACTGATCGAAACAACTCTGAGGTGTGTGAATGTGTTAAGCTTTGCCGCATCACCTCTGTGATTCGCTTTGTTGAACAACAACAACAAAAACAAAAACAACAACAACAACAAAAGTCGAAGAAATCGAAAATCAATAATCAATAATGTTTAACATATGTACTTGTATTTAGGGAAACGCGTTGCTTTGATTTCTTCGCTCAATATTTTGTTTTGAATATACATATTCGTTTGGGTGGCGCTGTTCCTATAGCATTGTTTTTTATTGAATGTGTTTGGTGGGCGTGCGTGCAAGTGTGTGTGTATGTGTGTGTGGGCTGCATGCAAAATGGGTCCGGGCTGGGCTTGGGTGTGAGTTTGGGTTTGGGTTTGGGTTTGCATGTGTGGGTCTCTCATCGTATGCGTCTGTGCGTGACTTTGCGTGAATTTTGATGCATGACTGGCATGCAGAGTTTTCTTGATCACGTTTCCATTTCATCCAATCAACAACTGAAGCAAACAATGCCTAAAAAGGGAAGCAACCCGATTCCAAGGCAAAATGCTGCCCCGGTGCACAGTGATATGAAAATGCTATAAGCAGGCAGAAGATGAGGAAGAAGAAAATGCAGCGTGAGAATTCAAAAGTTCGTCAGGCTACAATTAAAAACAAAAAATCATTACCAAAGAAAAAAAAAAACAATATATATCTAATTCAAAACGAAACTGAAGAACGAAAAAAACGGCAGGCAACTTTTTCGCAACACTAATTACAACAATCAACCTAAAATTAAAAAAAAAAAACAAAAATATAAAAATATATTTTTACTTTATTCTTCCCCCCTTCTCTTAGCAATTTAGGTGCTCAATATAAATACATACACAAAAAAAAAAAAAATTAAATAATATTTAAAGAGAAATATATGTTATATGTAAAGATTTGAGTGCTTCAAATGCATTAGTCAAGCTAAAAATTTATAAATTAATAATGTCGCAAAAATAAAAATATTACGCCAACACCAGTGCTAGCCACGACCAGCAATGGGCGCGCTCCTGTTGAAGCGCCGCAGCTTGCCTGGAAAGCAACGCTGGAGCTAGCTAAACAGACAGCAAAAAAAAAACAACAGCCGGACAGACAATATTGGATAGCTAGTCAGTCAGTCCGTCGTCGATCGATCGATCAGTAGTCGACGATCAGTCGTCGTTCCAATCGGGTACAGCCAACAAACATATATGCACACATTATGTACACACCTCCCCAACAACACACACAATGAGGCAATGGCAACCAACACCACCACCACCACCACCACAACAGCAACGCTGCGCAGGAAGTAACTTACGGGTACATCATCATCCGGAAGCAGTGGCCGGCAACGACGACTACAGCGACTGCACCGCTCCTCGCCTCCAACAACAACAACATGGATGCTCAGCTCACGTCAGCACAACTTTATTAGGGTACTGGTTTAAAAAAAAAAAAAAAAAAAACAGAAACTAAAAAGTACAAAATTAAAAAAAAAGATTACATCAAACGTACACCTACATACTCACCAACTATTTATACCTATATATGTGTATATATATTTAAAATATCTTAAATATATATATGCATATATATGTGCATTTAAAATTCACCCACAAGCCTTATATATGTCTTTTAATACATATACACCCACACACACGCACACAAACACACATACATACACATTAATTAATTTTTAAAAGTTCACCACACATGCATATATCTAGATATACTATATATGTATAGTTCGTTTTATTTCATAGCATACGAGTACACATACAATAAATACTTGTATGTAGGACTAACCTTTCCTTAAGTCACGCGTATTAACACAAACACACACACACGCACACAGCTAACTAACCGTAAAAGCACCCAACATACATACATACACACACACACACATATGTACATATTTATAAAAAATCATGTTCCCGAAATATTGGTGTCGCTCGAACGTTTCCCGCATTCTCATGTAGAATCCTCAATCCTCGACGAACGCATATACACATACTATATATGATTCTTATTTTACGGAAACGGACATTACAATTTGATTGGCTTTTCAAAATTGGACGTGGAATTCTTACAAAACCCATAGGTACCCTGGACGAACGCATATACATACATACATATATATATTTCTCCTTTTACGAAAACGGATTCGCAGCTCAGAGCATTTTCATTAGATTTACTTTTCAAGACCGGACGTGGAATTCTCACAAAACCCCTAGGTACCCTCTACGAACGCAAATACATAAGACTATATATATTTCTTATTTAACGAGAACGGATTCGCAGCTCAGAGCATTTCCATTAGATTTACTTTTCAAAACCGGACGTGGAATTCTCACAAATCCCCTAGATTCCCTCGACGAACGCATATACATATATATATTTCTCATTTTACGGAAATTTCGCCTTTACTCCCATTATACTACGATCATTTGTTCACCGTCCGTTTATTGTTATTACTATATCTTCTTTTAAGAATTCATATCACGTGCGAAGAAAAGTGTAATCATGTGGCGTGTCGGCCCCCGTTTGAAATGAATTTTAAAATAAGCCATGTAGACATTTTGGAGACTTGATCAGGTTTAGTAATCAAATCATATACGGGGAGCTCTGTAGGCTTATAAGCCAATTAAGTACTGCTTGTGAGATCTAGCCTTGCCAACTGTAGGTAAAGCCCTACGAAGTAGTGATGGGACTCACCTAGACCGAGTGGATTTTAAGCTTTGCTCGACTTCAAAGCCTCAGCATTACACCTAGAGAGAGACACCGAAATAACCCTGGCAGTTGGCCCCGTCTAGATCTAGATTCAATCGAATCGAAGAATGCCATTTTTTATTTATGCGATTTCTATATTGATTTTAGTATTTGAGGAATGTTCTCCAGCGTACACTTTCTATATAACTTACTAACTGACTAAACCATAAAAAATATGATAATAAATATATATATATATATACATATAGTATTCGCACAGTTACATTAGAATAAGTAGATAGCAGTAGCTTTTAGAATATACATATACATATATATTTAAGTAGATTTAAGAAATTCAAAGACTCATATTTTAAGGATATAGTCTTAATTCTAGCATTTTAATTAGCCTCTAAGTCGGAAACTCGATAATATGGAAATTACTTTTTTATCTGTGTGTGCCATTTGTGCGAAAGACTGAAGTGTTGTGAGATGAAGAGAGAACAAGCAAGAGGGAGAAAGCGAGAGAGAGAGAGAGAGAGAACGAGCGAGCGAGCGTGGTTAGGGTTGTCGCTCTACTGATTGTGCGTGTGATTCCTAGTCTATATTTTTGTGTTTCGAAACTCATTTTGCCACCACAACCAGCCATTTGGTGTTCATTTATTTTTAGTTAAGTTTTTTGTACAATTTTTTATAATAGTTTGTCCAAGCTTTGCTCATGATTTGGTTTTGTGTATTATCGGGTCTGGGTGTATGAGTGTGTGCGTGCATTTTGGAGTGGGTGTGCGGGTGAAAGTAATTTCCATGCTCATTAGGCAACATTTTGTTTGTGCTCTCTACTGCAATGCAAGCAACAAAAACACACAAAGTGATTGCTTAATATCTAATACACATTTAACTAGCATAACTAGCACATATTTAGATCATAAGTGGAATCTAGAAATAAGTCTTAAAACCCTTGCTAAGATAGTCAAGACATAAGCCCAAATAATCCCACAACGTAATAATTTAGAATTAAGCGCCCCCGGATCTCTTACCAACTAAGTCCACAGATCTAAAACAAAAAAAAAAAAAAAAAAAACTCTCTGTCTATCTTTTTTCTCTGGCTACACACTCTACATTGTGCAATAAATATATACTTAAATATCTTTTATTATAATGTTCCCAATCTTAGATGTAAGCGCCCTCCATTTATATTTTTTTTGTTTTAAAAACATTTATGTTATTTATTTATTTATTTTTTTTTTTTCGATGACATTTTACATTTTTTTGAAATTATATAATTATTATTTGCAATACATTTTGAACCGCCCACCGTTTACCATTTTTAATTTTCTTTATTTCTTATGTGCCACGCCCCCAAAACCGCCCCGCCCAACAAATGAATATTGTATATCGCCCGCCCCTTTCGCTGCCCCTGCTCCCCTGAACTGCCGCACGGCCATTTCATTTGTATACTCATCGCTCAACCTTTGTACTTCTAGATGTCACCAGCTATATGGATACGAGCAGTGCTCCGGCTGGCGGCACAGCGGCCTGGTCGACGAATGCTGCCGCTGCTGCTGCCGCCGCCACAGGCGTCGTTGTGGAAACGAAGCATGAACTCGACTCGGGTATGATGCCACCACCGATAACAACACAAATTCCGATGGGGATGCGTCGCTCCTCCTTGCCCAGTGCCACGCCCATGATAACCGATCAGCAGCTGGCCCATCTGAGCGCTGTGGCCAATGCAGAGGCCCTAAAGAGCGAACTACTTGACGAGAGCAGTTCCCATAGCCCGCTAACAAGCGATACGTTGCATTCGCCCGAGACGCTGAATCCCTGCAGTCCCAATGCGGTCCCATTGCAATATCATGCACGCTACGCCCGGAAAAACAGCATGGATACCATCATGTACGATCAGTCGAATAGCTTGTCCGGTTTTCCGGTGCCCGCCAGCGCAGCTGCCGTCGCTGCTGCCGTGGACATTGATCCAGCCGCCGTGGCTGTGGCTGTCGAACTGGCCGTGAAGAATGAGATTGTCAAGCATGTGGTGCAGCAGCATCAGCAGCATCAGGCCGTCGCGGCTGCAACAGCACCTCAGCAACAGCAACAGCAGCAACAACAACAAGCCGCCAATGTGCACAAGTTCATCGATGATCTGACCAAATCGACATCGATGGTCACTAGCAATGGCACCACCGAACCGGCATTATTCACCTCATCGGCCGTCATAGATCATGCACTGACCGATATATTGCAGCAGGAGGTGGCGGTGTTGACCCACTCGCCGCCCACAGCTGCGCCCACTGTGCTGGAGCGCAGTCTCTCAATGTCCAGCAGTAATTCCAATTCCTCTCTAACCGGCAGCGATGCCTCACCACCACTTAGCGGTGGTGGTGGCAGCGCTTCCGGTGGCTCGCCCATCACCCAGGACATCATACTCAACTCGGAGCCGGCCGCAGCCTTGGGTGCCCTGCCCCTACAACAGATATTGCCTCCTAGCAATGGCACCGTAGATCTATCGCCATGTGTGGATGTGCCAGGGGTGGCTGCTGCCGCCGCCGCTCTCTCAACCGACATTATAATGAACCCTGCTGTCTCGCCATCCACGATACTTTGCTCGGCAAATGGCGCCGCCACCGCGGTGGTGCCAAACATCATGGCACCACATCAGGTGACCATGGCGAATTCGATATTAAATGATATTGCCATGCAAGCGGAGCCGACGCAACAGGATGCGGCTGTTGCTGCCATCGCTCTCAGCAACATTATGATGAGTCCGCCAAATAGTGGCTCCGTCGTGGACGCCTTGCCACCCACCCCGGCAGCGCTTCAGCCGGAGGTGGCAGCTACGGCCACCTCAACAGCGGTTAGCAACTTAATTATAAAGGCAGCTGCGGATTTTATTACCACACAGGAGCAGCAACATCATCACCAACAACAGCAGCAACATCATCACCAACAGCAGCAACAACAGCATCAACAGCACCAGCAACACCAGCAACACCAGCAACACCAGCAGCACCAACAGCACCAACAGCACCAGCAGCACCAGCAGCAGCAGCAACAACAGCAGCAACAAGGTGTGCCAACAACCACCAATGCGGACCCGCTGGTCAACCTGTTGCTCAACCACAGCTCAGCGCCCGAAGCAGCAGCTGAGGCAGCCGGCTATACATCGTTGTCCGCCCACTTGCCCGTCGTGCCCACCACACAACAAGAATCTCTCATTGTCGCCCTGGCCACCGAGAATGCGCTACAAAAGTCAGTCGCCACAGCAGCTGTGACCACCCATGGCGCTGTGATGACGCAGCAAGCATCGGCCCCAACCACAGCAGGCAGCATTTTGCCGGCCGCTGTAGGCGCAGTGGCGGCAGCGGCGGCTGCTGCGGTGCCACTCCCACCACCCATACCACAGGAGCTGACCTCAATGTCTGATCAGGATCTAATCAGCTATATTAATCCGAGCACCTTCCGTAAGTACCGACACCAATCCTAGGCAGTGGAACTCACACAATTCAATCTCGTAGCAAAACGGAACTCAAACAACTTCGAACTTGAAATACCCTGTATCCAAACAAACTTCCAACGCTAAGTTATATAGCAGAAGCTAAAAGAAGAAAAGAAACCTCTCTAATAACTTTTCTTAGAACTTAATTTTAGATGAAATTAAAACAGTGGTGGAGAGTTAAATATTTATTACGTGTGCAAAATTTTATGAAGCTTTCGATTTATGGACAGTATTCAGGAAAAAACAAAAATATAATAAACTCGTATTGCCTAGATATTAGAAGAATCTGCATACCAAGTTTGGTGAATGTGGACTCAGCCGTATCTGAAATGCAGTCGTTCATACAGACAGACGGAGAGACACATCTAGTTCGATTTCTCTCGTTATGCTGATTCAGAATAGATGTAGTTTATGGGCTTCGGAAATTTTGTAGCTTAGTTGAAAAGCCTTTTTGCAAATATAAATATATAATATATAAATATAATTTTTGTGAGATTTAGGGACAAATGGTTGGTAGGATACAAAATTTTGTAGCTTGGTTTAAAAAATATGTTGGAAAAAAAGAAATATCCATTTTGTGAGATTTAGGGGCACATAGTGGGAAGGATACACAACTTTGAAGTTTAGTTTAAAAACCTTTTTGGAAATGAAGAAATTTAAATTTTGTGAGATTTAGGGGCACATAGTGGGAAGGATACACAACTTTGAAGTTTAGTTTAAAAATCATTCTGAGTTCTGTTGAACATTTGTGAGTTTCCAGTCGAACATGAACTATGTGGTCCTCATCATTTAACCTGCTTTATCTTTCTCCGTTTCTACTTACAGTTTAAATGGCTGCTCTAAACAAATTATGGTGAGACCGTATTTTTTTGTTTTTTTTTTTTCAAGGAAAACTCCTACACAGGCGTAGTTTTAAGCATAGGTTTAAAGAAAATAAAAACACACATATTACACATAAACATGAAAAAAACAATAGATCATGAGATCATAAGTGTCGGTTTCAAACGCTGTTTTCTATTACAATGTGGACCAGAAGGTCAAATTTTTTGTTTGACCTTGACCTGCATAGGTACCACACCCGAGACTCTAGAGACTTGGCAAAGAGTGCAAAATCTTAGGAACGCTTCCAAAATTTGTAAATCCAGCACAGAATAGAAGCACACGAATACAAGCATCCATACATACATACCTACATATGTTTAGATACTAAGGCCTTATCGATAACTTTTTGGTTTTTGAAATGCTTGCACGAAGCAAAAGTCAAATTATCTCAAAAATGAAAAGAAAGGAAAAAACGACTGCCATATACATGAAAAAAATTTACATCATAACAAGAAAATGAAAAGAAAACTTACAACAACAAAATAAAAACAAAAACGCAAAATTTGGATGCATGTGTATACAGATATGACAAATACATTTAAATTAAAGAAAAAACAATAAAAATAAAAGAGAGAGTTCAGTTAATAATTTAGAAAAGATTTAGTTGAAAATCTGCTGTTCTTGTTGCGTTTATTTTCTACAATATTTTCTTTTTAAAGCTAAAGTCTGATTTGTAAATTTTTCGTCATACATTTAAGTGAAATGTTTTTTTTTGGGTATTTTTTTTTTATATATTTAAGTGCGAATTATGAAATTTTGGAATTTTTTCAACTGGGGGGCTACATTTTGTAAAAAAAAAAGAGAAGAAACATTACAAAATTTATTTGTATATGTACACATATTTATACTTGAATACGATTTATATGAATATGAATTCCAAAAGACTTTATTTAAAGAGAAGAAAAAAACAAATTTCTGTCTTATATAAAATTCTCTTATATAAACATTTTGCGCATGTCAACAGGCAAAAGAAACAAAAACAAACACAAACAAACAAAATATTCACGCTATCATTATTATTATTATTATTATTATGCTTAAAAATACTATTAAACGTTATTTCTATCATTAAAGTTAGTAATTGTTATGTGTATGTAGATGGTAGGACAGAAATCGGAGATACACTCATTATACTATATGCTATTACAGTACTCCGCACAAGTTTATGCTTAATGCGCATAGCCTAGTATTACACACCCACGACCACAAGCAAAGAACCATCAAAGTGTTGAAATAAAATCAAAATGTAATCTGTTGTCAAATTCTGAATGTTTTTTTTAGCTATCGTTTTCCAAAGCAACATACTAATACTATGCAAGAAAATAGCCAAGCAATCCTCTAAGATATGCATTTGTTTACTATATACGAGTAGTGCTCTACATACTATACTTGTTATTTCGTATTTATACATAAATATGTATTATATTGTAACTAAAGTTTAAAAATATACACATTTATTGTAACTGAAGCATAATTTGTGTTTTGGATGCCATTGTACGTACAACAACAACAGCGGCACGTTTAAAACTCTTCAAAAAATGTTAAAAACGTGCTCGAAAAATCAAGATGAAGAAAATCAAATAAAATTGTGTAGATTTGTTTTACAAACAACAGAAAAGTTGAAAGAAGCAAGCAAATTGTAAACGAAATTACTTTTATTTTTTTTTATCCCTTATCTCTTAACGAAGGAGGGTAGATTCCGATCAACAAGACAATATCGTGCAAAACACAGTGTAAGTGTAATAATATAGATTCGATTTTCCTATAGCTGTGGATGGTTTCCTACGAAATGAGTTGGATATCTATAGGGATGTATGCGAATCAGAGCTGGTTGGCAAGGGTAAAAAGAAAACCTATTTATGATCAAGAAACTAGCATTATCAAAAATCGAATCACTTGTGAATTTCTTGACGTATTGCCTATACATCTCATTCAATTTCTTTTGGCATTTTTGGCAACTTTGTTTTAAGAACGATGCTACAACATGAAAGTAGAAAGTAGAACTAAAGACCGAAGCCCCTTTTTAGAACGAATTTACAAACATCTTGCCAAATCAAATACTTTTCCCACATGCTAGTCAACTATTTATACCTGTAAAAGGGAAAACGGGTAATAGAAAATCATTTATTCAGCTTTTCCTGATAATAGATAATGGCAGGGTCGCTTCAAACTTCCAATAGTACAGTTCTCAGTCGGCCTTTTAAGGGTTCCGTTGTTTATGGGTTGCCATCAATTGAACAATGTTTAGAGGCTTTCCAGTTTAGTTTATGATATGAAACAATAATGAGAAGCTATCGCTAAAAATAAAAACAAACTCGAATTGAAATCAACTGAACAAACAAAATACGTGTGTAATTTCGTATTGGATATTAATGCATCGACAAAGATGATCGTCGATGACAAATGAACATTTTACATAAATAAATTAAAAACTAAATAAGTGTTTTGCATATGTGTTACACAATCTCAGAGATTGCATATTTCTCAATACAAAGTATATATGTAAATGTGTTTTTTTTCTTGTCTTGATAAGGTTAATAAATGGCATTAAATAAATACATAAGTGGAGCAAAGACGCAAGAGAGTCTAAAAATGTACTCGAAAAAAACAAGATACAAAATATAAACAATATACACTCATAAAAGCGTATCTGTTGGAACTAAAGAGCGGCCTTCGCGTATAGTCAGTGAATGAGTTACAAACATACAAATATATAAATATATATATATATATACATATATACAGAAAATATACATATATACACAAAAAATGATTATAAATGAATGTATTTTTGATGTCCTTATTGCAAAGCGCAAAAAAGCACAATGAAATCAACAACTGTATTAATCGAAAATTGTTATTAATGTGCGTTCAAAATGTCAAGAAATACGGAGTTCGAACATTCGAATGAAACAGCAACAGATGTACAAAAACAGTTAAACGGCAGTACTTTTCGTCTCTTTTTTGTTTTTGCATAATGTTGATGGAAAGCTGTTTGTTATATTTTACAAATACATGTGAATAAAATACGAAAGAACTAAATCGAATGTTACAACACAAATTCTCATTGGTTGATGGGACAGTACTTGATGCCACAAACGGCTTACAAAATACTTTTCTTTAAGAGTTTCAAAAAAGGCGACAAGCGACCGGCCTGGTAGGTTATCGAGCTAAGAAATGGTCTAAAACCTGATTGGAATAGCAAAAACAAAGACCAATTAAAAGTAACTAGACAAAATGGTAGAAAATCCGCTAAAAAAAACTACCAGTCTAGAAAACCCACTAAAAATAGATGGAAAATTCGCTAGGAAATGGCTAGAAAAACTGCTATAAATAGCCATTAAACCCGCAACAAACTAGATAAATAACCCGCCATCACCGATGGTTGCCGATCTAGCTTTCAAGAGCCTTAGACAACGCAGTTCTATTTTGCATTACAAATATTTCTGAAAAACTCGAAAACCACAAGAAATGGAGGCCTACCTACCAGGTAGACGTAAATAAGCAGAAGGCACTTAACTGCTACCGATTGCAATATTATTTTACAGTAGGATCGTGTAACCCCAATTTTTGTTAGTATTCATAATTTAAATTCTGTTCCAGCTGTTTGTGCTATTGGTTTCGTCACAGAAAAGGTTGCCGATCCAGCATTTTAATCACTCAGATAAGAAGTTTCATTTAAAAAAATAAATCGAGTTGTAGAAGACATATATAATACACCTGTATGTTCGAACATTTTTCTTCTACATTCCTGCCGCTTCCGATCACAACTGCTTCAAAATTTTACCAAATGGGCTTACTTTACTGAAGTTAAATTTGAAAGAAGCTTAAGATGTTAATCCCGTTGGCCCGATTTCTTGGCCCAAAAGACAGTTTTGGTTTTTTTTATTAAAAATTCATTTTTAGCTTTTAACGTTTTCAGTGTAAAAGAAATAAAAACATCGAACAAATTACAAAAGCACTATGATACGCTTATTTTCTTCGTTTTATTTTCTAAATTTTATGGCAATTATGGTCGATGTAGGTAGTAAAACTAATCTTCCGAATTTCGTCTATCGAGCTGATATCTGGTTTTAGGCGATTGTGACTGTAATTATTGGCAGATTATCGTTATCATTATTATTATCATTCAATACTTGTAGTGTTCCATAAAAAACATGACTAATTAGCTATTAGTCTGGACTTTAATGAATTCGCTCAAAACAATCTAGTTTACTGATTGCAGTTCCTTGAACTTGAATCATCATTCTGAAACCATTGATCTGCTCAGACATCGCCGATAAACTTGAAATTTATCTTACAACAAATTCTTGCTCTATATAAAATACTTAAAAAAAAATAGAATTTCGCAACTGTCGTACAATTGAATTTCCAGACACTGTGATTTTTGTAACCTGTACACGAAGGGTCAAAGGCTATACTAGTTTTGTGCGAATGTATGTAACGCCCAGAAGGAGGCGTGGCAGACCCCACAAAGTATATATTCTTGATCAGGATGACAAGGCGGGTCAATATAGCCATGCCCGTCTGTATGAACGCAAGAATCTCAGAAACTATAAGAGCTAGAATAACCAATTTGGTATCTAGATTCTCTCTCAGTCCGAGAAAGGACGAGTTTGTGTTTTTCTTTTTCTGATGCAGCCCCCCACTACCCCGCAATTCGTATTTTTGCCATAACTCCCGTAATGTCACTGCTGGGCTTGCTCTACTGTAGCGTTCTCTCTTGTTAGTTTCAACTTATAACGAACGTAACACAAATTCCATGCCCACTTTAACACTCAATACTTTTTTATTCCAACATGTTTTTAAACAAAAATGTTTAGTTAATTATAACATAAAATATACAACAATATACTAAAGAGCCAACTGAGACGTTGTCGCCAAAAGGTACGGTTGTGTGTTCAGGATACGTCGCTCGCTATGCGATTGTGTAATCCACTGTGTGCTTAGAGCTGGCAAATGGCTTAGGTGTTGCTCCAATATCCATTGCTGGAATACATCCTGATTGCATCTGTTCAGTTCGACAAATATGTGGGTCAGGCGACCTTTTTGGCTTGCACTGGACAGGTCCTGCAGGCTGTACACCAAGCCGCCATGACGCATGAAACGCAGCTTCGCCAACTCCAGCCTGACATCATTGCCATCGTCTGCCTCAGTGTAGAAGAAAGCATAGCAATTACGAAAGAAATGGCCGTCGCTTTTGCTGAGCAAGCTCGCCTCAAAGGCGGCCAATTGCTGCTCATCTATATCGGCAGCCTGCAGCGCAGCATCATCGATGTCATTCAAAATTTCCACCAGTTCCGAAACACTGCAAATAGCCTTCGTATACGAGTCGCCGAGTTTGTCATAGTGCTGCGTCAATTCTTTGTGCAGGGATTCTGTGGCCGCCACCACGTCCTTGGGACGCACTA